AATTCAAATGAAACGGAACCACCAACACCATCATGAATGCATGTGAAAACATGTCCTTCATTTTTTTCTCCCCTTTGTTGAAAAATCAGATACACAATCGAAAGACAAATTCATGTAGGGTAATTGGAAGTTGTATTTGAAAGTAGGACAGCAAAAATTGTATTTTCTAGAACATGCTAAAATAAACAATAGATTAATTAATGGTATTCTATTTAGAATCTGAGCCGATTATTCATGGCTGTCAGTCCATTCAATATTATTATAGTCACCACAGAGTTAGTTAGTCTGTTCAGAATTAGATCCCTAGTATCGCCGTGTTCTTTAAGCCCATGCAAATTGAAATAAATCCTGTCGATAGGACATATTTATTAAAGCAAAAATTCGAAACTACACTTCTGCAATATTGAAGATAGGAATTCTAAACCTAAATTTATGTCACATCTGTGATTATTGTTATTGAAACTGAGATATATCGCTCGATTTTTCTTGGTATCCCACATATTCGGTATTTTAAGTATTTAAGTACAGGGTGTGATGTCTTTGTACATATGTTTGTAACAGGCAAAATGAAACGAGTTAGACACACGGTTCCTTTCGACAATATGCATAGAATCACTTTCTGAGTTGATTTATGCATGTCCGTCTGTCTGTCCGTCCATGTATTTTTGCGAACAAAGTACAGGTCGCATTTATGACAACATTTTGCAGAGAGTATTTAATTAAGTCTTGATTGATGCATGCTAAGTTTGGTTGAAATCGGCTCAGATTTAAATATAGCTCACAAATATACTTTAGTCCGCTTTTATGCAATTGGTGCAAATAGAGGAGCCTATGTCTGTTCGCTTTACATGAAATATTGTATAGCGTATTGGATTGAAGACGTTTCAAGTTTAAATATAGCTGCCATATATAATTTCATCCGATTTCATCAAAATGATGTACCAAATAACTAAAGTTTATCCGCTTAGGACGAATAAGTGCACAACATACCAAATCGAACCTAAAATAACGTGTATTGGATTTAGTGTCGAGATTAATTTTTAAAAATTTTTGAAATATTTCTGCTAAAAGTTATCAATATTAGTCCACACTTTAGGGTAGCCCCAATACGTCCCAAACAACGGTATTTTATACAAATGGGCTGTAATTTTAATTTTTGGATAATCATTGAGTAGAAAATCTTTAAAAGTTCTATCGCAATCGGAGATAGAACTTTTAGAACTTTGATATATTCGTCCTGGCCGAACATTACAACGTTTTTACTTCTTTGGTGTTTTAAAGGCTTTCATAAATTCCGAAATATTGGACGGTAAAATACAGTATCTATATTGGTCGAAATTTTCATATCGGTTTCACATAATTTTTCCAGTGACTATTGTTTTTTTCATATCGGATTCCTAGTGAATAAAAAAAAAAACATTTTTCCAGAAATGTTTTAATAATGGTTCATGTTTTAAACTATGCAGTTGTTTATTAAATCGATGCATATATAGAGCCTAGAGATGGTATTTACCTGATAAATACCCAATGGGTGGGTAAATACCCATTTGCGGGTATTCATTTGGGTGTTTACTATATTGAATCGGTAAGGTTTCTATAATATCAAATCGATTTAAAATGGATAGTTTTACAATGCTTTACACACGTGTCAAAACTAATACTAGTATGGGAAATGGGGTGTCTGAGAGCATATTTTTATATAGCCCCCATATAACTGTACCTCCCATTTTAGGTAATTTGTGTCTATTAGCTGCATTTAAAAACCAGTATATGATACCCTTCACCACTTTGGGTATATTCAACAGATGAATCATAACAGACGTCGAATTTTTGAAGGACCATTAACATGAAAATGGATCCATAAACATGTCATTCTGTAACCTACACTAAAGTTTTCATTTGGTCAGATATAGGGTTGCTTCTTACAATGGGACAAAATTATATAAAGCAATGTAAAGGAAATGTATTATAGTAACTACAGTTCATTGTACCAATTGTGTGGAAATCAGACAAACTTTGGGTCTTTAGTGCACAATTTACACACACTCGGAAGAAAAAATATATAGGAGCTATATCTAAATCTGAACCGATTTTCACGAAACTTAACACACATAATTCTAGACCTTATTCATTACGCAATACCAAATTTCGTGCAAATCGAAATATATATAGGGACTTTGGTGCAACATTTACATTAAATCGGACAAAATTATATATGGGAGCTATATCTACATCTGGGCCGATTTTCAGTAAACTTAACACACATCATTCTAGACGTAATTCATTACGATATGCCAAATTTCGTGCAAATCGAAATATATATAGGGATTTTGGTGCACCATTTACATGAAATCGGACGAAACTATATATGGGAGCTATATCTAAATCTGGACCGATTTTCTCGAAACTTCGTAGACATCATTCTAGACTCAATTCAGTACGTTATGCCCAATTTCGTGCAAATCGAAAGATATATAGCGACTTTGGTGCACCATTTACATGAAATCGGACGAACCTATATATGGGAGCTATATCTAAATCATGATTTTCACGAAACTTGGCAGACATCATTCTAGACCTAAATGATTAGGCTGTACCAAATTTCGTGCAAATCGAAAGATATATAGCGACTTTGGTGCACCATTTACATGAAATCGGACGAAACTATATATGGGAGCTATATCTAAATCTGGACCGATATTCTCGAAACTTGGCAGACACCACTCGAGGCTTAATTCAGTACGTTATGCCAAATTTCGTGCAAATCGAAAGATATAAAGGGACTTTGGGGCACTATTTACATGAAATCGGACGAAACTATATATGGGAGCTATATCTAAATCTTGACCGATTTTCAGACATCATTCTAGACCTAATTCATTATGCTGTACCAAATTTCGTGCAAATCGAAAGATATATAGGGACCGTTTACATTAAATCGGTTAAATATATATATGGGAGCTATATCTAAATCTGAACCGATTTTTCCCAATTTCTATACGGTTCGTCCTTGGGCCAAACAAATGAGCTGTGCCAAATTTCATCCAATTCGGATCACAAATGCGACCTGTACTTTGCTCACAAAAATACATGGACAGACAGACGGACGGGCGGACGGACATGCATAAATCGACTCAGAAAGTGATTCTATGCATATTCTCAAAAGGAACCATGGGTCTATCTCGTTTCCTTTTGCCTGTTACAAACATATGCACAAAGACATAATACCCTGTACCACAGTGTGGTGAAGGGTATAAAAACATATGGCACAGGGAGTTCTCTATGGGTACCAACCAGAGCTCCGATTTGCTCGATTTTACTCGCGAGTGAAAAATACTCCCGAGCGGGAGTAAGTAAAGAGTACGAGTTTTTAGGGAGTATACTCTCCACTCTTTTATTTTGTTTGGGAGTGCACGCGAGTACTCCTTGTTGAAGAAAAATAGTGTGAGTGAAAACGTTCGAAATAGAGTAAGAGTTCACTCTAAGAGTGAAATCGAGTGGACAAATAAATTTGGTTGTTTGGTTATTTGTGTGTGTGTGTAGTACCAAAATTTTTTTTTGATGTTGATCTTTTGTGTGGTGTGGGGAGATAGATCATTACAAAAAACATAAAAGGACATTGATTATTTTGTTTATTGAAAATGTTTACACATGTGATGTACGAATAAAAATCTTATATGAAATGACTTACATAAAGAGAACGCAGAAAACGAGCTTGTTGATGCATGCTTTCCCAGCAGTACTGCAAACCAAACATCACAAAACAAACAAACAATGCACACAAACAACATCAAGTAAAACAACGGTATCACAAAAAAATATATATAATAAAAGAGTACTCGCAAGAGTGTAATCTGCTCGATTTCGAGCGTATTTCACTCCCACTCGAAAACGAGCAAAGCATCTCCGCTCTTATTTGAGTGGCAAAGAAAAATAGAGTAAACTCTATTTACTTTTTCTACTCGCAGGAGTACTCCCGCTCGAATTCGAGCGAGATTCATGTCTATGTTTTCTGGTAGCCCCCATATAAAGGTCTTTTGAGTATTTACTCAAATATTGGATATAAACTCATTAACAGGCGAACCACTTGACATTGGCGGCCAAAGTTTGGCTCATATGTTTTTAATGCCAAAACTAATACTGGTAGACATATAACCGTACCTGTCGATACCCAGTAGTTCGAGTAACTGGTGATGAACTAGATATTTCACTAATTACCTGTAAGTACCACTAGTTACCACTTCATACCCTAGACTGGTGAATTTAACATGGGTATGTCATTGGGAAATCAATTGTCCCTGCCTGCGTTACAGTCATTTCGATAGTTGTTTCATTACCCTTTGCATTACCAGTAACTACTGAATTGGTGTGATGTGCGTAGACAAATTTTTCAATTGACAAAAAAATCCAACTGTCTATTTTGTGTTCCTTTTTGGATTATGAAGTAACTAGATCACCAAGTAACTAGCTATATAACTATATAATAGCAGACAATTGATATTTTTTGAACAACTGGGCATTGTTATATATTATAAGGCTTATATAACGACCCTTATCGTGATCTCAATATGCAAACGGGCCTGGTTAAATTGAAATAGAATTTCATTCTGGTCAAAAATATATCCTCTGTTGGATTTCAGGTGAATATTTCCATGTGTTGCAAACGAAATGACAAATGGTGGAGGGAGCAAACATAAAAAATGTCATTATGTTGTCCCAATACCATTCGCACTCGATAGGGTAGTATTTCATAAAGTTGACTTCATCTTGGAAAATTCCTTTTTGGTTTTATGCAGTGTAACTTTGAAAATAGTTTTCATTCATTGGATATCGTTCTTGTTATATGTGAGATTATATATTACATTAAGATTTTATGTTAAATTGTTTTCCTCTCCCTGCGTAACTCTTTAACGCATCGACACGGATCTTGTAAATATGTTTCCCTGTAGTATTATAGACATAGTTAATTTTCTACATGGCGCACATATTTCAAAACTTACCTAAATGTGTCCATATGAAACTTTCAAATTGTGCTGACCAACGATGTAAACCATTTATGCTGATCTTCAGGATTTGTTTGGTTTGTTGTGACGGCTGATGGTTACTCTGTTGGTGTTGTGATTGCTGGTGGACGGATGCTGATGATGATAGCGACGATGGCATTGATGTGTCTACAGAATAACCATGACGATGTTGTTGTGTCTGTTGTTGCTGGTCCATTGTTATTAATTCGCCAAAAATAATTAAATCTGTCGGCAATATTTTTAATAAATTCCCATCGAAGCACGATAATGGTTCTATGGTTGCATTTAATTGTCTGCAAAAAAAACGAATATGAAACATGAGTGTGAGAGGTAGCCTAATTAGAGCTAATGTATTGGAAAATCATGTTAAATTAGTGTTGCTGATGGTTTCAAATCATTGCCAATGAATTGGATTAGAGAGAACATACAAATTACATTTCATAGGTAAATATTTTACACTATTTAGTCAAATAGGTTTTTTTTTAAATTTAATTTTTTAATTCCTGCATTTGAAACGAAGAAAAACCTTGAGGGATTCCAGAGCTACTATTTCACCCAGAAAAACCTGTACGAAAAGTAGTAAAGTCGGGACAGACCATGTGCAAATCGAAAGATATATAGGTACTTTGGAGCACCATTTATATTAAATCGGACGAAAATTTATATGGGAGTTATATATAAAACTGAACCGGGTTTTTCCCAATTTCAATATGGTTCGTCCTTGGGTCAAATAAGTGGGCTGTGCCAAATTTCATCCAATTCGAATCAAAAATGCGACCAGTACTTTGTTTACAATTTAACATGGACAGACAGACGGACGGGCATGCATAAATCGACTTAAAAAGTGATTCTATGCATATTCTCAAAAGTAACCATGTGTCTTTCTCGTTTCCTTTTGCATGTTACAAACATATGCACAAAGACATAATGCCGTGTACCACAGTGCCGTGAAGGGTATAACAACAGTTTGGTGTGGTTTGAGGGCCGATGGAATGCTCTGTCATTTACAGATGACGTCAGTGAGAACGTAACCGCCAACGAACATAGCTGTCGTATCCATATATCCGAATATTTGATGCCTAAAATTTGAAACTCGTTGTTTCGTCGACAGGATTTTGTCCTGCAGGTATATATCGAGCTCAGATCTTCCATCTCACCTAACCGAGGGAGGATATGAGGCGATAGACTCTGAAGCGGCGATTGGAGAAATCTCTAACACTTTACCTATCAGCATTCCCATGGTTGATGAGACGATGATGGTGAGGTGGTCCGTGGTAATCATTCAGTTTGCCATGTGTTGAGCTACAAATTTGCTCGGACAGCGATTTACCCCCTGGCCATTACATAGGACTGAATGTCAGAATTCATGATGGAGCTGGGGAACCAAGCGGTAGTGCCCCAAAAGTATGGGTGCAAATAGATCTGTTCTGAAGCGAGTGGTGTAAGAAGAATAAAAGTCTCTGTATCCGTTCTAATACGGAACAACCTCTAAAAATGTACCCATTCCCTACATTAATTGCACCTCATCGCAATAGAGCTGTGGTAAATGCGAGCTCCGATGTTTCCCTCTATCCCCGCATGGATAAAAAGTGTTCGGAGCAGGCGTTCCGAGATGTAATTCTACTCCCATGACAAAAATAATATCCACATATTTGCATTTGTTAAGATGGTCGTCTCTTGTCGAAGTCTTGCTTAAAAACCTTAAATCTTAATTTAACCCACAAATTTATTATTAACCAGTAAGGAAAGTAGTAAAGTCGGACTGGGCCGACTTTATGATACCCTTCACCACTTTGTGCATATTCTACATATGTATCTTAAAAGACGTCGGCTTTTAGAAGGAACATTGACATTAAATTTAAGGAACATAAATAAATGGTATTTACCTGATAAATACCCAATGCGTGGGTAAATACCCATTTGCGGGTATTTATTTCGGTGTTTACTATATTGAGTCGGTAAGGTTTCTATAATATCAAATCGATTTAAAATGGATAGTTTTACAATACTTTAAACACGTGTCAAAACTAATACTAGTATGGGAAATGGGGTGTCTGAGAGCAAGTTTTGATATAGCCCCCATATAACCGTACCTCCCGATTTTAGGTAATTTGTGTCTATTAGCCGCATTTAAAAAGTATATGGCACAGGGAGTTCTCTATGGGTACCAACTATCCATGCAAAACTGTATCGACGTAGGTCTACGTTTTTTGTTAGCCCCCATATAAAAGACCGCCTTTTGTGTATTTACCCAAATATTGGATATAAACTCATTAACAGGCAAACCACTTGACATTGGCGGCCAAAGTTTGGCTCATATGTTTTTAATGCCAAAACTAATACTGGTATGGAAAATGGGGTCTCTGCGTCCATGTTTTGATATAGCCCCCATATAACCGTACCTGTCGATATTGTTATATATTATAAGGCTACCTATATCGCATTTTCAGTTAAAATTTCCGAACCAACAGCTCTATCTTATATAACTACCCTTATCGTGATCTCAATATGCAAACGGGACTGGTAAAATTGAAATAGAATTTCATTCTGGTCAAAAATATATCCTCTATTCCATGTGTTTTAAACGAAATAACTAATTGAATACTGGTGGAGGGAGCAAACATACAAAACTTTCATTATGTTGTCCCAATACCATTCGTACTCGATAGGGTAGTATTTCATAAACTTGACTTCATCTTGGAAAATTCCTTTTTGGTTTTATGCAGTGTAACTTTGAAAATAGTTTTCATTCGTTGGATATCATTCGCATCGACAATATTCTTGTAAATATGTTTTACTGTAGTAATATAGACATAGACAGTTAATTTTCTACATGGCGCACATATTCCAAAACTTACCTAAATGTGTCCATATAAAACTTTCAAATTGTGCTGACAAACGATGTAAACCATTTATGCTGATCTTCAGGATTTGTTTGCTTTGTTGTGACGGCTGATGGTGACGCGGTTGGTGTTGTGATTGCTGGTGGACGGATGCTGATGATGGCGACGATGGCATTGACGTGTCTACAGAATAACCATGACGATGTTGTTGTTGCTAGTCCATTGTTACCAATTCGCCAAAAATAATTAAGTCTGTCGGCAACATTTTTAATAAATTCCCACCGAAACACGATAATGGCTCTATGGTTGCGTTTAATTGTCAAAAAAAAAAAAAAAAAAAAAAAAAAAATATGAAACATGAGAGTGAGAGGTAGCCTAATTAAAGCTAATGTATTGGAAAATCATGTTAAATTAGTGTTGCTGATGGTTTCATATCATTGCCAATGAATTGGATTAGAGAGAACATACAAATTACATTTCATAGGTAAATATTTTACATTATTTAGTCAAATATGTTTTTTTTTATTTAATTTTTTAATTCCTGCATTTGAAACGAAGAAAAACCTTGAGGGATTCCAGAGCTACTATTTCATCCAGAAAAACAAGTACGGAAAGTAAAGTCGGGCGGGACAGACCATGTGCAAATCGAAAGATATATAGGTACTTTGGAGCACCATTTATATTAAATCGGACGAAAATTTATATGGGAGTTATATATAAAACTGAACCGGGTTTTTCCCAATTTCAATATGGTTCGTCCTTGGGTCAAATAAGTGGGCTGTGCCAAATTTCATCCAATTCGAATCAAAAATGCGACCAGTACTTTGTTTACAATTTAACATGGACAGACAGATTGACGGGCATGCATAAATCGACTTAAAAAGTGATTCTATGCATATTCTCAAAAGTAACCATGTGTCTTTCTCGTTTCCTTTTGCATGTTACAAACATATGCACAAAGACATAATGCCGTGTACCACAGTGCCGTGAAGGGTATAACAACAGTTTGGTGTGGTTTGAGGGCCGATGGAATGCTCTGTCATTTACAGATGACGTCAGTGAGAACGTAACCGCCAACGAACATAGCTGTCGTATCCATATATCCGAATATTTGATGCCTAAAATTTGAAACTCGTTGTTTCGTCGACAGGATTTTGTCCTGCAGGTATATATCGAGCTCAGATCTTCCATCTCACCTAACCGAGGGAGGATATGAGGCGATAGACTCTGAAGCGGCGATTGGAGAAATCTCTAACACTTTGCCTATTAGCATTCCCATGGTTGATGAGACGATGATGGTGAGGTGGTCCGTGGTAATCATTCAGTTTGCGATGTGTTGAGCTACAAATTTGCTCGGACAGCGATTTACCCCCTGGTCATTACATAGGACTGAATGTCACAATTCATGATGGAGCTGGGGAACCAAGCGGTACTGCCCCAAAAGTATGGGTCCAAATAGATCTGTTCTGAACCGAGTGGTGTAAGAAGAATAAAAGTCTCTGTATCCGTTCTAATACGGAACAACCTCTAAAAATGTACCCATTCCCTACATTAATTGCACCTCATCGCAATAGAGCTGTGGTAAATGCGAGCTCCGATGTTTCCCTCTATCCCCGCATGGATAAAAAGTGTTCGGAGCAGGCGTTCCGAGATGTAATTCTACTCCCATGACAAAAATAATATCCACATATTTGCATTTGTTAAGATGGTCGTCTCTTGTCGAAGTCTTGCTTAAAAACCTTAAATCTTAATTTAACCCACAAATTTATTATTAACCAGTAAGGAAAGTAGTAAAGTCGGACTGGGCCGACTTTATGATACCCTTCACCACTTTGTGCATATTCTACATATGTATCTTAAAAGACGTCGGCTTTTAGAAGGAACATTGACATTAAATTTAAGGAACATAAATATGTGATCTTTATCTATATCGAAACCTAACAAACTTGACACTTGCTATTGGTATGCTGCACGATTTAAAATTTAATCTCAATCAGACATTGATTACTTGGTGTACAATTAACATGAACCTATCATTCTAGACTTAATTCAGTATGCTATACCTAAATTCGTGCAAATCGAAAGATATATAGGGACTTTGATGCACCAATTACCTTAAATCGAGCGAAAATATATATGGGAGCTATATCAAAATCTGAACCGATTTTCACGAAACTTAGCACAAATCATTCTAGACTTAATTTTGTACGCTACGCCAAAATTCGTGCAAATCAAAAGATTTGCAGGGACTTTGACGCACCATTTACCTAAAATCAGACGAAACTATATGGGAGCCATATCTTAATCTGAACCAATTTTTCTCAATTTCAATAGGGTTCGTCCTTGGGCCAAATGAATGAGCTGTGTCAAATTTCATCCAATCCGAATCAAAAATGCGACCTGTACTTTGTTTACAATTTAACATTAACAGACGGACGGACGTACATGCATAAATCGACTCAGAAAGTGATTCTATGAATATTCTCAAAAGGAACCATGGGTCTATCTCCATTCCTTTTACCTGTTACAAACATATGCACAAAGACATAATACCCTGTACCACCATGTGGTGAAGGGTATAAAAATCCTCATGTATTGCAAGTGAACTGGGAATTGTAAATACCTTAAAGGATATTCATTTCCTTAAATTCTTCCCTTTATCTAATTTTTATCTTTAAATCCTGAAAACTTATTAAAAGTATATCCCCAAATCCCTCTGCATCTGCATTTTACAAAAGTCATTTACAAAATAATGATATCTAAGCTTTTGCACTTACCCCTCAACCGCAGATTCCGACGATGAATACAATGTGTCACCATCATTGGCTGCATCAACTGGATCAGCAGAATTGATACCACCACCACTGCCGTTGCCACTGCCAAAAGCACCACTACCTGCATTTCGAGTGTTGGCTGGAGTAACTACGGCATTTGTTGCCGTTTTCAAAAGCGAAGCTCCTTTGTAAATGGTGTCCGGTGTTAATGTTATTAAAAGGGCATCACTATCCAGGGATGAGTAGGACTGAATGGCGTCACATTTTGCTGTCAGCATGTCAAGGGAATTTTGCCCGTTTGGCTTTTGTCTGGTCTGCGCTATGCGCTCTTCTAGTAGACTTTTTGCACTCAACTGGGAGGCTGGATATGCGGATGAATCGAACGATGTTGACGAGAATGCAGACGACGATGAGGATGCAGACGACGATGACGTTGCTGCTGATGACGATGATGAAGTCGCTTTATATCTGGCAAATTGAATTTGTTCACTTTGTCAGGACGATAATAAAACATCATCGTCACTATGTCCACCAGGCAGATCAACATATTCATCGTAGTTATTGTTGTAGTTGTTGCTTTCAGCCGGACTAAAAATGTGGGAACCCAAAGCTTTAAGTATTATGGGACTAGTCTTGATGAGTTCCACCAAACTTTTGTGCTCACAATCCGAAGTACTTTTTTCTGGAAACTTTTGTTGTTGTTGTTAGTAATGATGGTGTTCATGTAGCTGTTGTTGCTGCTGCAGCAACTGTAGTGGAAGATTGTGATTTTGATGATGCTGATGCTGCTGTGGGTACTGCTCCGACTTTTGTCGTCTTAATCTAGTTATTGGTGTTGCCCATATACTGGGTCCTCCAAACAACAGCAGTATTGTAACAGGTAGGTCAGGACATTCTTCAGACTTTTTGGTGACTGTTGATGTTTTTGATTACTCATTCGTTGTTTGTGTTCGGAAAACATGGTATTCTGTTTCTTCTAGCTCTTGTTTTTGTTCTAATCATTGAAGATGCAGGAGAGCATGCCACTTTTCAATTCAGTTCTGTTCAGTTGAGTTCGTCTTCTGCTTCTTGGTGTTCTCTATTCACGAGTATATTAACAAATCTAGGAGCAGCAATTAATTTTGACGTTAGAACAACTTAAGATGGGACATTTCATGTTTGCTGTGCACTTGCTTGCCTTCATTTATCTTCGTTCTGCTTATTTTTCGTGTGAATTATGTTTTTGTAGTTTTTGTTGTTATTTGATGACGACAATGATGATGCTGATGATGGCCTCTGTGTTATTTGAACATTTGCAAAAAATGATTGTTCTCCAGAGAGCATTGTTTGCAAAACATTTCATTGTTCGTTTGACATCGTAAAATTTTTGTGTGTTAAGAGAGTCACGTAAGGACATAAAAATGGCATTTTATAGTATTTCAGCTGCTGTTTCCTTTGTTCTTGACAACTATGATAGATGTTCGTGTTTTTTCGTTTCTAAGCACCATGGCGGACTGACTGACTTGCTGTCTGAAATTTTTCATAATAAAAAGAAATAATTAATTAGAATAATGAAGCTGTATAAAGGCGATTACTAATGAGCTTTAATTATGAAGGTCGGACATCTATATATATAAAAATGAATTTCTGTTTGTTTGTTTGATCAGTGTTCCCTATAGACTCCTAAACTACTGAACGGATTTTCATGAAACTTTCACAGTCGATTTTTGAGTACATTTGTGGTAACATAGGGTACTTAATTTTTTGATGGGGGCAGGGGAACCAATAGCCCCCATACAAATTGCCCCTTTTTTATATCATGTTGAAAATATGCAATGTTGAAAATATCCAATTATAGCAAAATGTTAGTAAATACACAAACCACAGATATATATATTTTCCAATGGTGAATATACGAGTTTACGTGTTTACTAAGTTCACAAACCACCTTTATGTAGGTGTTGCCATTTCGCAATAGTACAGTTCGAGCGCGAAGCGATTTAAATAATTTGGACTGTATATACTAATTAGTACTGTACACATATTTGCCCTCTTTATACCCTTCACCATCACTTTGGTAAAGGGTATTATTTGATTGTGCATATGTTTGTAACAGGCAAAAGGAATCGAGGTAGACCCATGGTTCCTTTTGAGAATATGCATATAGAGGAGATGATGCAAATGTGGTATAGGTTGGTAATGTGGTATAGTCACTTTTTTTCTAAACTGAAAATTTTTGAATAACTGAAACATGTTGCATAGTTTGCTGATCTCAAGAAAATAAAAAAGCAATGATCTGTTTAATTTATTTAAATCACGTTGAGAATCAGTACCAAAAATTAAATTTTTCATGAAAATGACTTTTTTCGGTTGAAGTTTAAAAATAATTTTTTGTTTTACGGATGTAATTTTATCGTTATTACTGAAGCATTAAAATAATTAGTATGAACTAAAAATCAAATAATATGCGCGATTGCACCACATAATCACCAATTTAGGAAAAAAAGTATATTTCTTCAGTAAACACAAGTAATGTAAAGCAGGTAATGTGGTATAACTTGAGTCTGCATGAGAAAAAATCCAGCATAAGACAAAATCTCATTACTATTTGAATCACAAGGATGGAAAACAAAGGCTATGAGTTTTAACAACTTCTCCATACAAAAATTGAATATTACCATGTGTAGACGTTATTATATAATAAAAATTAAAGTTCCACTTAGCGTATCCGTAAAAACCTTAACAGACATAAAACTCGAGCTAATTCGCATTCATTAAAAACAATAAATTATATAAGATATCAATTGCAAGTGAAAATTATACTATACCACATTAACATCATATGGTATACCACATTACCTGCACTTTTTTAAATCACTTTTAATGGAATTTCAAATATTTTCTCAAATATCTCTTAAATTGTTAGAATAATATTATTTTCAAATTGATACATGGAAAGACAACACATGTAGCACGTTAAGTGTAAAATTTAAATTTAATCGGATAAAAAATAAAAATTTGGCAATCTGAAAACAAATGGGTATACCACATTTGAATCACCTCCTATAATCACTTTCTGAGTCGATTTAACCATGTCCGTCAGTCCGTCTGTAGATGTTAAATTGTAAACAAAGTACAGGTCGCATTTATAATCCGATTTGTACGAAATTTGGTACAGCTCATTAATTTGGACCAAGGATGAACCCTATTTAAATTCGTGAAAAGCGGTTCAGATTTAGATAGAGCTCTCATATATATTTTCGTCCGATTTAATGTAAATGGTGCACCAAAGTCCCTATATATCTTCGGTTTGCCCGAAATTTGGCATATCATACTGAATTCAGTCTAGAATGATGTGTGTTAAGTTTTGTGCAAATCGGTTCAGATTATATCTCCCTTATATATTTTCGTCCGATTTTGTGTTATTGGAGCACTAAAGCCCCTATATATTTCGTCCGATTTTAAGCAAATGGTGCACTAAAGAACCATATCTAGGCCGATTGACACAGCGTACTGAAGTTAAAATAAATTTATCTCTGGCAAGGTTCTTTGAAATCGGTTCAGATATAGATATAGCATAGCTTCCATATACAATTTCGACCTATTCATGCTAATTGATAGAGATTAAATTTGAAAAGGTGCATCATATCAAATAATGTGTCTCAAGTTTGCTTTAAATCGATTAACAAAATTTAGCATAGACTGCATAATGACATGTGTAGGGACTGTTGTTAGTCTATTTACCTTTGGATATAGATGACATCTTTAAGTTCGTTCAATTTCACGTCAATTGTCCTTCGAACGTCTGTTAGGATACATATGTGTCATATACCCAAATTGATAACGAGCATCATACAGCTGGCCCTGTCTGACTTTACTATTACTTTACATTGTAAAACTCACAACATTACCCAAAAATTGAATTTTTAGATTTTTCTTTTGATATTTGTCGTCCATAATCAGGTCTTGACATATGAAACCTAAAAATATCTATCTACTAGCTTCATAATCAATTTAATCTCTAAAACATTTTTTTCCCTGGTAACATTGTGTCACAAAGGGTTAATGAAATTTACGCAGAATATCATGACATGCCCTGAAAGTAACATAGGCTAGACAAACTTCAAAAATTTCCTGGGGATGCACATGCATAGCATCAATAGTAGTCGTACCTCAAAAATTATGAGCCTGAATATGCGTATATCTTAAAAACTTTAAATAGATAACGGCTTAAAAATTTGTCAGATAACCGTGGGTTAATACACGTCATCTATACAAAAATTAACATTTTACGATCAGCGGAAAATTCACTTTCTACTGCATTTTTAAAATAAGCATATTGAAAATAAAAAAATTAAACAGATTCTACTGAGATTTTTACAGAACGCCATGACATGCATTATGAATAACATTGGTTATATATACTTCTAAGAATCCGCGTGGATGCGGAGTTATCTGAGTAACGTGGGTGTAAATACGTATCCGTACAACAAGAGCGTGGTACGATGAAGGTAAAATGTACTCCTTTTGCATTTGAATCTATATATATTTATATAGAAAATATATTGTTTGTGGACCCAAAAAGCACTGAAGAGATTTTACTTAAATGTTCCCATGGAAGTAACATAGGTTAGACAAACATTTAAAAGTCCGCGTGGATGCGAAGTAATAGCATCAAAAGTATTTATACATCTGAAAAAATACTGGATAAAAATACGGATCATCCGGTGAGTATATATGTTGGGACGATAAGGATATGTTTGAAATACATAATATTCATATGTATGTATATTGAAAAACAGTGTTTTTAAGTTTCAAGAAAACAAAATTTACCACCATTACAGAAAACCACGATTAATTCAATAACTTCTATACAAATATTGTCATTTTTCAATCAGGAAGGCAGGAGAATACATGGACATTTCACACATTTTTGTAGTGTTAAGCATAGAGCATACAAAAATCCAGGGTTTGTCTAATCTTAAAATTAGTTTAGCTGCTATTCAAATTTAACGTAAATAACATTGGCAGGGGCAGCGAAGTGCCACGGGTCCAGCTAGTTAATAATAAAAATAATGTGAGCTAAGACAAATAAAAAGTGAATGATAAACATTTTTGGGCGTCATATTTCCAATGATTATGAGAAATATAATTTGCTCATTAAACCTATTTATCAGCTAAATTATATTTCCTGCTATATTTTTAAACAGGAAGTTCTTAGCAGGCAATTTTTTCACGAAAAGTTCATTAATGGTGTCTAGGGTGGTTAATCAGACGAAATAAAATCTTTGTGTCATTTATTTGGCAAACTCAGGGAACGACATGAAAAATTTGTGACACATTCCCCTGGACTTAACATTCTACATACATATTTTGCGATGAGAACTCGATCCTGTGCAAATTTCTAATCAAGTTTGACGTAAACCAGTAAGGAAAGTATTTAAGTCGGACGGGATATAATACCCTTCGCCACTTTGGGATGCATTCTAACAGATGTCGCATTTTCGAAAGACCATTGACATGAAATTGAATGAACCAAAATATGTGATCTATATCTACATATGACAAGACTTAGATCAATCCATAAACATTCTCTATCTATATAAATGAAGAGTTTAGAATAGATAACAGAATGACCTATTCTAAACTCTTCATTTGTATAGATAGAGAATGTGACATAATTACGTAAACCGATTTAAAGCA